CTCAGTGTCCTCACTGCCCCTCAGTGTCCTCACTGCACCTCAGTGTCCTCACTGCACCTCAGTGCCCTCACTGCCCCTCAGAGTCCTCACTGCACCTCAGAGTCCTCACTGCAGCTCAGTGTCCTCACTGCCCCACAGTGTCCTCACTGCAGCTCAGTGTCCTCACTGCCCCTCAGTGTCCTCACTGCAGCTCAGTGTCCTCACTGCCCCTCAGTGTCCTCACTGCACCTCAGTGTCCTCACTGCCCCTCAGTGTCCTCACTGCCCCTCAGTGTCCTCACTGCCCCTCAGTGTCCTCACTGCACCTCAGTGTCCTCACTGCTCCTCAGTGTCCTCACTGCACCTCAGTGTCCTCACTGCCCCTCAGTGTCCTCACTGCACCTCAGTGTCCTCACTGCCCCTCAGTGTCCTCACTGCCCCTCAGTGTCCTCACTGCACCTCAGAGTCCTCACTGCCCCTCAGAGTCCTCACTGCACCTCAGTGTCCTCACTGCCCCTCAGTGTCCTCACTGCCCCTCAGTGTCCTCACTGCCCCTCAGAGTCCTCACTGCCCCTCAGTGTCCTCACTGCCCCTCAGTGTCCTCACTGCACCTCAGTGTCCTCACTGCCCCTCAGTACCTCCCTCACTGCACCTCAGAGTCCTCACTGCCCCTCAGTGTCCTCACTGCCCCTCAGAGTCCTCACTGCACCTCAGAGTCTTCACTGCCCCTCAGTGTCCTCACTGCCCCTCAGTGCCCTCACTGCCCCTCAGTGTCCTCACTGCACCTCAGTGCCCTCACTGCACCTCAGTGCCCTCACTGCACCTCAGTGTCCTCACTGCACCTCAGTGTCCTCACTGCACCTCAGTGTCCTCACTACCCCTCAGAGTCCTCACTGCACCTCAGTGTCCTCACTGCACCTCAGAGTCCTCACTGCCCCTCAGTGTCCTCACTGCCCCTCAGTGTCCTCACTGCACCTCAGTGTCCTCACTGCCCCTCAGTGCCCTCACTGCCCCTCAGTGTCCTCACTGCCCCTCAGTGTCCTCACTGCACCTCAGTGTCCTCACTGCACCTCAGTGTCCTCACTACCCCTCAGAGTCCTCACTGCACCTCAGTGTCCTCACTGCACCTCAGTGTCCTCACTGCACCTCAGTGTCCTCACTGCACCTCAGAGTCCTCACTGCCCCTCAGAGTCCTCACTGCCCCTCAGTGTCCTCACTGCCCCTCAGTGTCCTCACTGCACCTCAGTGTCCTCACTGCACCTCAGTGTCCTCACTGCACCTCAGAGTCCCTCACTGCCCCTCAGAGTCCTCACTGCACCTCAGTGTCCTCACTGCACCTCAGAGTCCTCACTGCACCTCAGAGTCCTCACTGCCCCTCAGTGCCCTCACTGCCCCTCAGAGTCCTCACTGCACCTCAGTGTCCTCACTGCCCCTCAGTGTCCTCACTGCACCTCAGTGTCCTCCCCTCACTGCCCCTCAGTGTCCTCACTGCCCTTCAGTGTCCTCACTGCCCCTCAGTGTCCTCACTGCCCCTCAGTGTCCTCACTGCACCTCAATGTCCTCACTGCACCTCAGTGTCCTCACTGCACCTCAGAGTCCTCACTGCACCTCAGAGTCCTCACTGCACCTCAGAGTCCTCACTGCACCTCAGTGTCCTCACTGCCCCTCAGTGTCCTCACTGCACCTCAGTGTCCTCCCCTCACTGCCCCTCAGTGTCCTCACTGCCACTCAGTGTCCTCACTGCACCTCAGTGTCCTCACTGCACCTCAGAGTCCTCACTGCCCTTCAGAGTCCTCACTGCCCCTCAGAGTCCTCACTGCACCTCAGTGTCCTCACTGCCCCTCAGTGTCCTCACTGCACCTCAGAGTCCTCACTGCCCCTCAGTGCCCTCACTGCACCTCAGTGTCCTCACTGCCCCTCAGTGTCCTCACTGCCACTCAGTGCCCTCACTGCAGCTCAGTGTCTCCCCTCACTGCCCCTCAGTGCCCTCACTGCACCTCAGTGTCCTCACTGCCCCTCAGTGCCCTCACTGCCCCTCAGTGTCCTCACTGCAGCTCAGTGTCCTCACTGCAGCTCAGTGTCCTCACTGCCCCTCAGTGTCCTCACTGTACCTCAGTGTCCCTCACTGCCCCTCAGTGCCCTCACTGCAGCTCAGTGTCCTCACTGCCCCTCAGTGTCCTCACTGCCCCTCAGTGTCCTCACTGCAGCTCAGTGTCCTCACTGCAGCTCAGTGTCCTCACTGCACCTCAATGTCCTCACTGCACCTCAGTGTCCTCACTGCCCCTCAGTGTCCTCACTGCAGCTCAGTGTCCTCACTGCAGCTCAGTGTCCTCACTGCACCTCAATGTCCTCACTGCCCCTCAGTGTCCTCACTGCAGCTCAGTGTCCTCACTGCCCCTCAGTGTCCTCACTGCCCCTCAGTGTCCTCACTGCACCTCAGTGCCCTCACTGCCCCTCAGTGTCCTCACTGCCCCTCAGTGTCCTCACTGCACCTCAGAGTCCTCACTGCCCCTCAGTGTCCTCACTGCCCCTCAGTGTCCTCACTGCACCTCAGAGTCCTCACTGCCCCTCAGTGTCCTCACTGCCCCTCAGTGTCCTCACTGCCCTCAGTGCCCTCACTGCACCTCAGTGTCCTCACTGCCCCTCAGTGTCCTCACTGCACCTCAGTGTCCTCACTGCCCCTCAGTGTCCTCACTGCACCTCAGTGTCCTCACTGCACCTCAGTGTCCTCACTGCCCCTCAGTGTCCTCACTGCACCTCAGTGTCCTCACTGCAGCTCAGTGTCCTCACTGCACCTCAGAGTCCTCACTGCACCTCAGTGTCCTCACTGCCCCTCAGTGCCTCCCTCACTGCCCCTCAGTGTCCTCACTGCCCCTCAGTGTCCTCACTGCACCTCAGTGCCCTCACTGCCCCTCAGTGCCCTCACTGCCCCTCAGTGTCCTCACTGCCCTCAGTGCCCTCACTGCCCCTCAGTGCCCTCACTGCCCCTCAGTGTCCTCACTGCCCCTCAGTGTCCTCACTGCACCTCAGAGTCCTCACTGCCCCTCAGTGTCCTCACTGCCCCTCAGTGTCCTCACTGCACCTCAGAGTCCTCACTGCCCCTCAGTGTCCTCACTGCCCCTCAGTGTCCTCACTGCCCTCAGTGCCCTCACTGCACCTCAGTGTCCTCACTGCCCCTCAGTGTCCTCACTGCACCTCAGTGTCCTCACTGCCCCTCAGTGTCCTCACTGCACCTCAGTGTCCTCACTGCACCTCAGTGTCCTCACTGCCCCTCAGTGTCCTCACTGCACCTCAGTGTCCTCACTGCAGCTCAGTGTCCTCACTGCACCTCAGAGTCCTCACTGCACCTCAGTGTCCTCACTGCCCCTCAGTGCCTCCCTCACTGCCCCTCAGTGTCCTCACTGCCCCTCAGTGTCCTCACTGCACCTCAGTGCCCTCACTGCCCCTCAGTGCCCTCACTGCCCCTCAGTGTCCTCACTGCCCTCAGTGCCCTCACTGCCCCTCAGTGTCCTCACTGCCCCTCAGTGTCCTCACTGCACCTCAGTGTCCTCACTGCCCCTCAGTGTCCTCACTGCCCCTCAGTGTCCTCACTGCAGCTCAGTGTCCTCACTGCACCTCAGTGTCCTCACTGCCCCTCAGTGTCCTCACTGCCCCTCAGTGTCTCCCTCACTGCCCCTCAGTGCCCTCACTGCACCTCAGTGTCCTTACTGCACCTCAGAGTCCTCACTGCACCTCAGAGTCCTCACTGCACCTCAGAGTCCTCACTGCACCTCAGAGTCCTCACTGCCCCTCAGTGTCCTTACTGCACCTCAGAGTCCTCACTGCCCCTCAGTGTCCTCACTGCACCTCAGAGTCCTCACTGCACCTCAGTGTCCTCACTGCCCTCAGTGTCCTCACTGCCCTCAGTGTCCTCACTGCCCCTCAGTGTCCTCACTGCCCCTCAGAGTCCTCACTGCACCTCAGTGTCCTCACTGCACCTCAGAGTCCTCACTGCACCTCAGTGTCCTCACTGCCCTCAGTGTCCTCACTGCCCTCAGTGTCCTCACTGCCCCTCAGTGTCCTCACTGCCCCTCAGTGTCCTCACTGCACCTCAGAGTCCTCACTGCACCTCAGTGTCCTCACTGCCCTCAGTGTCCTCACTGCCCTCAGTGTCCTCACTGCCCTCAGTGTCCTCACTGCACCTCAGTGTCCTCACTGCCCTCAGTGTCCTCACTGCCCTCAGTGTCCTCACTGCACCTCAGTGTCCTCACTGCACCTCAGTGTCCTCACTGCCCTCAGTGTCCTCACTGCACCTCAGTGTCCTCACTGCCCCTCAGAGTCCTCACTGCACCTCAGTGTCCTCACTGCACCTCAGAGTCCTCACTGCCCCTCAGTGTCCTCACTGCACCTCAGTGTCCTCACTGCCCCTCAGAGTCCTCACTGCACCTCAGTGTCCTCACTGCACCTCAGAGTCCTCACTGCCCCTCAGAGTCCTCACTGCACCTCAGTGTCCTCACTGCCCCTCAGTGTCCTCACTGCCCCTCAGAGTCCTCACTGCCCCTCAGAGTCCTCACTGCACCTCAGTGTCCTCACTGCACCTCAGTGCCCTCACTGCACCTCAGAGTCCTCACTGCCCCTCAGTGTCCTCACTGCACCTCAGAGTCCTCACTGCCCTCAGTGCCCTCACTGCACCTCAGTGTCCTCACTGCACCTCAGTGTCCTCACTGCACCTCAGTGTCCTCACTGCCCCTCAGTGTCCTCACTGCACCTCAGAGTCCTCACTGCCCCTCAGTGTCCTCACTGCACCTCAGTGCCCTCCCCTCACTGCCCCTCAGTGTCCTCACTGCACCTCAGTGCCCTCCCCTCACTGCACCTCAGAGTCCTCACTGCCCCTCAGTGTCCTCACTGCCCCTCAGTGTCCTCACTGCCCCTCAGTGTCCTCCCTTCACTGCACCTCACTGCACCTCCACTGGGCCCTGATTCCCAGCACCGCCTCCCTCCCTGGCTGGCTGGGATCCCAGGCCCGCTCCTGTGCTGCCCTACCTCATACTGGTCTCCAGGACAGAGGCGCGCGTAGCCCACCAAGCCTAGAGAGAGAAACAGGAGTTCCTGGCCAGAGGCTCTTGGGATCCCGCCGGTGAGCCTGGCAGTCTGGAGAGGACAGCTGTCACCAGGGAGGGGGACGGGCGGGAGGGTGCCCTGCGCACAGCTGGACACTCACGGCGCACACAGTCACATGGGGACCCCGCCAGGGCTGCCCTGGAGCCTGGGGTTGTACTATCCAGCCCGCCTGAACCCCTCAGCTCGCAGCGCACAGCCCTTACCTTTCATCCGGACGACAAACTCACCCAGGTGGACCTCCAGGGCCGCCTCGATGAGCCACATGTCCTGCAAAGCCCCATGGGTGGTTCAGGAGCCAGCCAGCCTGGCCTGTCTGGGACCCAGGGCCCCCCGCCCTGGCCCCCGGAGGGAGGGAGGTCTGGGGGGCGCACACCTCGGTGCACTCCAGCAAGCTGCGGCCCAGCTCCTGCAGGCTGTCCCGGGACGCGCGGCTCAGGGGGCCGCAGGAGAAGGCCCGCTGCATGTTGGAGGCGCCGTCCCGCAGGCGCTGCTGGATGCAGTAGCCCTCGTAGAGCTCGTCCACCTGCGGGCACAGGCCATGGCACCGTCCCACAGGGTGGCCACAGTGCCCGCAGGCCGCCCCCCAGCCCGGCTGCCCAGCAGCTGCCCGGGTCTCATCCCGGGCACGGTGAGCGTGCACCGTGAGCGTGCACCCGCAGCGACGGGCCGCTGCCTGCCCAGGACCCAGTGCCGCCCAGCCCACAATAAACACGCACGAATGTGTCACCCCCCTCCCTCAGGGCTGCTTTCCTCCCCCAGTACCAGGGCTTGAACTCAGAGCCTGACACTCTTGCTTGACTATGTTGCTGAAGCCTAGCACTCTGCCCCTTGAACCACACATCCACTTCCGTTTTTGTTGTTATTTGGAAATAACAGTCTCATGGACTTTCCTGCTCACAGTCCTCAGATCTCGGCCTCCTGAGTAGTTAGGATGACAGCTGTGAGCCACCAGTGCTTAGCTTTGTTTAATTTTTTTTTTTTTTAGGGGTGTGGGTTGGTTGTGGGGCTTGAACTCAGGGCCTGGGCGCTGTCCCCGAGCTCTCCGGCTCAAGGCTAATATTCTACCACTCTGAGTCACAGCGCCACTTCAGGCTTTTGAGTGGTTAATTGGAGATAAAAGTCTTCGAACCGCGATCCTCAGATCTCAGCCTCCTGAGTAGCTAGGATGACAGGCGTGAGCCACCTGTGTGGGGAGGCTGGGTTAATTTTTAACTGGTAACACTTGCGCATGCGCCTCCCAGGGAGTGCCGGGCAGACAGTTGTGAAGGGACTGCAGGCCTTAGTCAAGCTGAACAGGCCACTGTGTGGTATGGGAAACACTGTGCTGTGGGCCTCCACTTCCCATCTGTGCCACAGGGGGGCGCTGGGCCTAGCCGTCCCACGCCCACCCCTCCTCGGCCCTCACACCCTCAGGGCTGAGCCCCTGCTGCCTTCCACCGGCCCAGGGCTGAGAGTCCACGGCAGCCCCTCCTCCACCAGCCCCAGGTCCCGTGACCCCCATGCCCTGTGACCCCCACACATGACCCCACAGCCGCTCACCTTGCTGATGTAGAACTCCATCTTCCGGATGTACCTCTCCACCGAGCGCGTCTGCTGCTCCCAGGAAAAGAAAAGATGCTTTAAAAAAAAAAAAATGCCTGGGGCTGGGAAGGTGGCTCAGTGGTAGAGCGCTCGCCTTGCATGCATGAGGCCCTGGGTTCGATTCCTCAGCACCACATAAGCAAAAATAAAATAAAAAATAAATAAAATAAAAGCTGTGGCTCAAGTGGTAGAGCACTAGCCTTGAGCTGAAGAGCTGAGGGACAGCTCCCAGGCCCAGAGTTCAAGCCCCACGACCAACCAAATAAAAAAGCCTGGGCCCCTGCCAGACCCTGGTGCCCTCTGCTGGACCCTAGCAAGGACAACTAGGCCCACCGGCCTGGAGAGAGCCTCAGTTTCCCTACCCAACATGAGAAGGAAGCCAATATTCCATGCAAAGATGGAACACAGCATTCCACTCAGGCCGGAGGGGGGCGGGCAGCCAGGCTCCTCCCTGCAGGCCCCGCGCATGCGCCTGCCTGACGCGCAGTGCAGGAGCGCTGCTTACCTTGTCCAGGTCGTAATAGAAAGCCTGCGGGTAGGACAGGGGAAAGGAAGACGAGTCAGAGTCCAGATGCCCTCCCAGGCCCAAGTCTTCATCCCAGGGCACCTGAACCCAGAGGACAAGAAGCCTGTGTCCAGGACCAGGCCAGCAGCTCACACCTGTCATCCTAGCTACTCAGGAGGCTGAGATCTGAGGATCGTAGTTCAAAGCCAGCCGGGCAGCAAAGTCCATGAGACTTTCTAGCAAAAAGCTGGAAATGGAGCTGCGGCTTAAGTGGTGAAGCACTAGCGTTGATCAAAAAAGCTCAGGGTCTGGGCTGGGAAGGTGGCTCGGTGGTAGAGTGCTTGCCTTGCATGCATGAGGCCCTGGGTTCGATTCCTCAGCACCACATAAGCAGAAAAAGCCAGAAGTGGTGCTGTGGCTCTAGTGGTAGAGCGCTAGCCTTGAGCTGAAGAGCTGAGGGACAGCGCCCAGGCCCAGAGTTCAGGCCCCATGACCGACAAAAATAAAATAAAACACAGCAGGGCCAGCATGAAGCTGGGTCCCCCTTTCCCGTGAGCCTGGAGTTCTGAGATCCTAACGCACGCCCGGTGCGGCCTGGCTCTGGGGTGGGGGCGGCCTGGCTCTGGGGTGGGGAGGCCTGGCTCTGGGGTGGGGCGGCCTGGCTCTGGGGTGGGGCGGCCTGGCTCTGGGTCTCACCAGCCTGGAGTTCCTCCGGGTGTCCCCGTGGCGGCCGCACAGCGCGTCCAGCTCGGCCTGCTGCACACACAGGTGCTCCCTGGGGACGGCGAGAGGACAGAGGCTGGAGGTCCGGCGGGCGACCGCTGCCCAGCTGACCATCACCATGCCCCAGCCCTCCACCCACTGGGCTTCCTTGCCCACCTGAGGCCTCTCTTCAGAGCCTCGAAGATCCTTTTCACCTGCTGGGGCCGGGGATCCGGGCCGGCCGCACCCCGGCGCAGCGTGCCGTACACCTTGGAGGACCGTGTGAGCATGCGCGATCTCACGGAGTTCCGGCTGGTGGACTTCCTGTGACAAGGGACAGGGCGGCCTGGGGTCAGTGCAGGGCCTGGATGAAGCCCGCCCAGGCCCAGGCACTTCGGGAACAGTGGCCAGGGTCCCAGGGAGTTGGGGGACGGCGCCCCCCCCAGCACCTCTCTGCTGTGGGGTCATGAGAAGGCTGAGCCTCTGGCGCTCAGCCTCCTGTCTATCCACGACAGGCCTGGCTCTGAAGACTACGAGAGCAACAAATACCGGGGATGAAAAAGGAGCGTACGGGAAGAAATGAGCAAGCAGCGTGCCTAAATGCCTCGGCAAAGCTGCAGGAGAGGCCAAGTCATAGCCCTGTGGTTCATGCAGATGGCACCGCCCAGCATCCACCCCCTTCCTGTGTTAGTAGCACCTGGACTCCCCTCTGGTGCAGGGCCCCCAGTTCTGCTTGATACTCATGGGGGAGGTGAGCTGCTGAAGCTCCATGCTCACACCTATGCACACATTTCACACACACACACACACACACACACACACACACTCTCTCTCTCCTCAGGCATGGGCTACAACTATTTCACTCTTCCTGGCCTGGGGACCTGGAGCCTTAGCAATGCGTGAGGCTGAGGCAGCAGACCGCCCAAACCCAGATAAAGGTCAGCCCAGGTGACACTTTAAGGCCCTGTCTCTGCCTCATTCTCCTAACAGCGACCACCAGCAGCCACCAGCGATCATGAGACCTCCAGAGATCACCAGAGACCACCAAGACCACCGGAGACCACCAAGACCACCAGAGATCACCAAGACCACCAGAGATCACCAGAAACCATCAGAGACCACCAGAGATCACCAGTGGCTACCAGAGACCACCAGAGACCACCAGAGATCACCAGAGACCACCAAGACCACCGGAGACCACCAGAAACCATCAGAGACCACCAGAGATCACCAGTGGCTACCAGAGACCACCAGAGATCACCAGAAAACATCAGAGACCACCAGAGATCACCAGTGGCTACCAGAGACCACCAGAGGTCACCAGAGATCACCAGAGACCACCAGAGGTCACCAGAGATCACCAGAGACCACCAAGACTCTCACCAGAGATTACCAGTGACCACCAGAGATCACCAGAAACCACCAAGACCACCAGAGACCACGAGACCACCAAGATCACCAGAGATCACCAGAGACCACCAAAGATTACCAGAGACCACCAAGACCACCAGAGACCACCAGAGATCACCAGAGACCACCAAGACCACCAAAGATTACCAGTGGCTACCAGAGACCACCAGAGATTACCAGAAATCACCAGAGATCACCAAAAATCACCAGAGACTACCAGCGATCACCAGAGACCACCAGAGATCACCAAAGACCACCAGAAATCACCAGAGACCACCAAGACCACCAGAGACCATCAGATACCACCAGATACCACCACAGATCACCAGAGATCACCAGGGATCACCAGAGGCTATCAGACCACCAGAGATCACCAGAGACCACCAGAGATCACCAGAGACCACCAAAGACCACTGAAGACCACTAGAGATCACCAGAGATCACTAGAGACTGCCAGAAACCACCAGTGACCACTAGAGACCACCAGAGACCACTAGAGATCACCAGAGACCACCAGTGATCACCAGAGAGCACCAGAGACTTGGCTCTGGGTTTCCAGGACCCCTCACAAGACCCGGTCCCTGGGATCACCAAGAGCCTGAGCTCCGGGGCCTTGTCCCACAGCACGTGTGGTGGCCCCGCACTGGCTCAGGGGAGGCGGAGGTCAGGAGGTCCAGAGAGCCTGGCCCTGGACCAGCAGGACGGAGCTCCCCGCCCGGGTCCCCGGCAGCTGCTGGAAGCCAGGCTGTGTTTCCAGCTGGGCCAGATGCTGTGCATTCCACACAGACACAGCATGCTGTTTACTGCTGCCACGACTGGCCGTCCACGCCCCGGCCCATCGCCGCCCAGCCCCACACTCGGCTCCCACAGACCCTCGGGGCCTCCACACACTGGGGCTGGCGTGTACTGTTCCGGGAACCAGCAGACCCGCTGCGACCCCAGTCCCAGGACTCCTGAGGGCCTCATCTGTGAAAGGCTGAGCATCCTGGAGCTGTCATTTAGTCATTCATGGACAGACATTACTGAGCGCCTACTGTATACCTGCCAGCATTCTAGGGGCTACAAGCCAACCGAGGGTGAGAAGGAGCAGTGGCATCAGCCACGGGGGGGGGGGGGGAGGCCACGGAAGTACCACAGCGCAGGCTGCAGAGCAGACCTGGGGTCTGGCAGGCTGTGTGACCTCGGGGAAGTTACTGAGCCTCTCTGAGCCTCAGTGTGCTCATCTGTATAAAAAAGAGACCAGTATAGGATCGGCCAGCTACTGGGGGGCAAGTCCACATCGGGGTGAGGGGTCAGGTCATTTACCCTACCCCCGCCCCATCCGCCAGCCCTCACTCACCTTCTGGACCCAGCCCGCCACCAATGCGCCATCCTCAGTGCAGTGGGGCTGTACCCTGGACCAGGTGGGCAGGGGGCAGCGATGGCCCCGGGGCCAGCGCGTGGCAGGCGGCCGGGCACACGGCGGCCTCCCCTCTGTGGATGCGAGCACTGGGCCGCCCGGGGCCGTGTGGGTGGGGACTGGGCAGGCCGGGACGGGGCGCGGCGGCCTCCGGGATGCCAGTAGATATGACGTGGCCTGGCCGGCACGTGCCTGCACGGAGAAGTTCTCTCCGGGGTCCTCATCACCTCCCCCCCCCCCCTCCGTATTTCCTTCCTAATAAACTTTCCTATCGCTTTATCTTGGCTGAAGTCTTCTCAGGCCGGAAGCAAGGAAGGAGGCTGACATGAGCTGAACTTCCTGTAACTGCCCATCACTCCAGTCAGAGCTCTCTGGGGTTTCTGCTTCCGCCTTTGGTGGCTTCCCACACGAGAACACCTCCCCTCTTCCCCGAGGCCCGCAGCGCCCTCCTCCCTATCTGGCCCCACACGCCAGCCACACATCTGTCCCTCACTGCCAACCCCTGCCCCAGGACCTTTGCACCTGCTGTTCCTGCTGTTCTCCCTCGCCCCCATCTCCACCATCTGCTCTTCTGTTCCCTCAGGTCTTGGCTGACTCGAGCTCCTGCCCGGTGAAGCCACCCGGGAGCGCAGCCACCCTCCCCGCCTGCTCTAGGTCCTGCCCAGCATGCATGGTCCTGGTGGTTGTTGGTTCCTTGTTCCCCACACCAGGCCTGCTGGCTGACGGGCGCACCCCCAGGGACGTGCAAGGTGCCCGGCGTGAGGCACCGGAACCTGGGTGTAGCAGGCTGGGCCCCTGTAGCAGCAGCGAATCTCCTGCCCATGGACTTGGTGCCTCCCAAGAGGGGACTCTTGGTGGCCACTGAGCCAGCTACTCAGGAGGCTGAGATCTGAGGATCGCTGTTCAAAGCCAGCCCGGGCAGGAAAGTCCATGAGACACTTATCTCCAATAAACCACTAGAAAACCAGATGTGATGCTGTGGCTCAAGTGGTAGAGCACCAGCCTTGAGCTGAAGAGCTGAGGGACAGCGCCAGGCCCAGAGTTCAAGCCCCACAACTGGGGGAGGAGGGAGCCAAGGCTCACAGTCATGAAGACGGAAGAGAACAGGACCCACGCCCTCGGGCCCCCATGGAGATGTGACCCAGACGCTGCGCGGTGCGCACTGGCGCTAGGTCAGCCTTGGTGTGCGCTTGCGCTAGATCAGCCTCTGAGCCTGCGTCTCATCTGCCACAGGAGCCTGCTGTGCTCTGCCAGGTCTTCTGGTGTAGTGTGTGTGTGTGTGTGTGTGTGTGTGTGTGTGCGTGCGTGTTCGTCTTGAACTCAGGGCCTGGGCACTATATCTGAGCTTTTCACTCAACCACTTTGAGCCACAGTGCCACTTCTGCACCGGCACCTGGCTTGTTTATTTATTTAATTTATTATTATTAATTTTTTGCTGGTCATGGGGCCTGAACTCTGGGCCTTGCTGTCCTTCAGTTCTTCAGCTCAAAATGAGCGCTCTACCACTGGAGCCACAGCGCCACTTCTGGCTTTTTCTGCTTATATGGGGCTGAGGAATTGAACCCAGGGCCTCATGCATGCAAGGCAAGCGCTCTACCACTGAGCCACCTTCCCAGCCCGGCTTATTTATTTTTAATGTGTGCTGATCCTAGAGCTTGAACTCTGGGCTTGGGCTCTATCTCTGAGTTTTTTGACTCAAGGCTAGTGCTCTGCCACTTGAACCACAGCTCAGATTCCCACTTTTTGATAGTTAATTCAAGATGAGGGTCTCAGGGACTTTCCCGCCCAGACTGCCTTCAAACTGTGATCCTCTGATCTCAGCCTCCTGAGTAGCTAGGATGACAGGTGAGAGCCACCGGTGCCCGGCTCTGGTATATTTTATTTATTTATTATTTATTTTTGTCAGTGGTGGAGCCTGAACTCTGGGCCTGGGCGCTGTCCCTCAGCTCTTCAGCTCAAGGCTAGCGCTCTACCACTTGAGCCACAGCGCCACTTCCGGCTTTTTTCTTTTTGCTTATGTGGTGCTGAGGAATCAAACCCAGGGCCTCAGGCAATGCAAGGCAAGCGCTCTACCACTGAGCTACCTTCCCAGCCCCCCTGGTGCGTTTTAAATGACAACTTTTCAGGTCTCTAGGAAATTATATTTGTCACGGTGTGTGCGTATGCATACACACCCCCCCACACACACACACGTGCACGCACGCCCTCCCTGAGCCAGTCCTAAGGTGACCGCAGCACTGAGGACCCGAACCCTTGCCCGATGGCCCCACTCCCGCCCCGGCCCACAACACTCACGAGCTCCTCCGACTCTGGGTGCCACCGAAGCCGGCAAAGGAGCAGCTGCGGCTCACGGTGCCGTAGACCACCGTCCCCGAGTCCCCGGGCGACAGGAACCGCAGCCTCACCGACATGCTGGCACCTGCAAGGGAAGGAGAGGGTCAGCCTGCGGCCAGCGGGGACGGGACAAAGGACCAAGGAGGGGTGGGAAGGGGAGGGGCGGTGGGAGCAGCACCTGCAAAGGCCCAGAGGCCCAAAGGAGCTGCGGCTCCAGGGCCGGTCAGGCATCACTGTCCCCAGGGGCCTGAGTGGCTATGGCTGGCGAACCCAGCTCACGGGCGGCTGGCATCACAGCACCAAGGCCGTGGGTCCCATCTTTGACCCAAACCCTGGCCACCTTTTTCCAAACCATCTCCAGGTGGGAAATGCCCAGACCAGACCCACAAGCAGCAGCAGCAGCAGCAGCAGCAGCAGCAGCAGCAGCAGCAGCAGCAGCAGCCTGCTGCGGCCACAACCACGTCCACAGCCACAGACTCAGCCCTCCCCTCCGGGTTCTGGGACAGCCCTGCCCCGGGCCGCCGGCCCTCAGCGGACCCCCCTCCTGCTGTCTCCGCGCTGGGGCAGTGGCCCGGTGCTCAGTGCTGCCCCCTGCTGGGGCTCAGAGCCAACTGCACCTCAGCAATCTGCCACACGCCTCCCAGGGCCGCCCCCCCCTCCACCCCATCCCGTCCCCCCCACCAGCCACAGGCCCTGCACGGAGCTTAGAGAGGAACGAGAGGGAGGACGGCAGAGCGGAGCGGGGCTCATCCCGGCCGGGCCCTGGATGGCTCCGGGCCTCCATGGTCCCCGTGGCCATCTGAGGACTCAGAAAAGCCTCCTCTGGAGGCCACAGGCGGCCAGGACACAAGGCACCGAGGCCCTGGGTGTGCAAGGACGCGCGGGAGCTGGCTGGAGCTGGCTGGGCAGCACGGAGCCTGGCCCGGGAAGGAGGGGTGCGCTGAGCCCCGGCAGGCGGGGCGCGGGGGAGGGGAGGCGTGGGTTACCCCACTAATGAGCCGGGTCTGTGTGGCCCCCCACATCAGCTCCCTCGAGGTCACGCCGCCTCCAGCAGGAGCTGCCGATGACCTCACTCCACAGATGGGGAAACTGAGGCTTGAAGAGGCACCGGGATCTGCCCAGGGCCCCGGGGAGGCCGCAGAGCGGGCGTGGGGCTGGTGCACCCGGTGCCAGCCTCGGCACTGCCTTCTCTGTCTGGTGTCGTCTGGTGTCCCCGGTGTGGTGCCAGCCACCGAGGACCCAGACCCCTGGCAGCCACCCTGCTCAGCAGAGCCCAGCCTCAGGGTTTTAGCACCTGGATGAGCGGGGCTGTAGGGGGTGGGGTGGCAGGGTGGGGGCTGGGGTGGGGTGGGAGGGGTTGGGGGACTGGGAAGGTCTGGAGGGGGCAGGAAGGGGCTGGGGTGAGGGGTAACAGGGGGTAGGGGTGGGGGCAGGAGGGAGGGGAGGGAATCAGAGGGGCCTGGAGGGAAGTGGGAAGGGGTGGGAGGGAGCCTGAGGGTTTGGGGGGGTGGGGGAGCAGGAGGGAATGGGAGGGGTTGGGGTGGGGGTGGCAGGAGGGGGGCTGGGCGGGGCTGTCCAGCGCTAGGTCCAGGGCAGCCGTTGAGTTGGCCACCCTACCATGCCCCAGGGTCCCCACCTCCCCTGGGGTCCTGGTCCCTCTGAGGCTGCTGGGGGAGGGCAGAGGAGCCAGAGGTGTCTGCCAGGGCTCCAGCACCCCCCCCCCCGTTCCTGCCCCGGACATGGACATCCGCTGGGCGCCCAGGAGCCACAGTGCTGGGAGCCAGGGCTGCGGCAGACCCAGGCCTGCTGGAAGGATCGCAGCCATATGGGGGAAGAAGCCTCTCCACTGGGTTTGGGGGACAACCACCCGCTCCCCACGCAGAGGAAGTGGCCACATGCAAATGAGGGGGCGGGGCAGAGCCTGCCAAGCAACAGTTGGGGGGCGGGACGAGGGATGGGGGTCCCCTGCTCCCCCCACCGGAGCCAGGCTGTGTCTGTGCCCCATCCCCAGATAAAGAAACAGAGGCTAAGCCGCTAAGCCGGGTGCACATAGCTCACGCTGGTCATCCCAGCTACTCAGGAGGCTGAGGATCGCGGTTCAAAGCCAGCCTGGGCAGGAAAGTCTGTGAGACTCCTATCTCCAATAAACCACCAGAAAACCGGAAGTGGCGCTGTAGCTCAACTGGTAGAGCGCTCGCCTTGAGCTGAAGAGCTGAGGGACAGCGCCCAGGCCCAGAGTTCAAGCCCCACAACCAACACACACACACACACGCACGCACGCGCCGCGGCAGAGGCCAGGTGGCTCTTCCAAGGTCACTGAGAGGCCAGAGCTGGGGCTCGAACCCAGCTGGGCTCGAATACAGCTGGGCTGTACCCACCTCTCCCCAGGCGTTCTGGGCACCCACCCAGGTGCAGGGGCCCAAGACTGCAGCAGGCTTGCGGGGGGGGGGGGGGAACTCACGAAACTGGACGCAGGGCATCAGGTCCCTGGGGGCCGCACTGGCAGCCCTGTCCCCATCAGGAGCCGGCTGGCTCCGGGCCGGACCCCAAGGGGTCAGCAGAGGGCCCGCGTGTCCGTGCGACCTGAGGGTTTCTTGTGAGGACAGCAACTCGGCAGGGGACCCTCGGGCGGTGCCCAGGGCGCTGGGGGCAGAGCAGGACAGGGCATCCCGGGGTTCACAAACCTGCGGGGAGCAGGATGCCGCTCCGTGCCTGGCGCCCCGGCGGCCGCCTGGCTCTGGCCTCGGCCCCCGCCCTGCAATCTGGGCTGTCGCAGCCGCCGCCCACAGGGAACCTGCAATTTCCCCTCGCGTGGAGGGATCGGCTAAATTTAGCGCGTGGGCTGCGGGCGCGGCCGCCCGAGCCCCTCGGCCAGCGCCGGCCACGGCCTCGGGCGCTCACCCCAGCCACGGCCTCGGGCGCTCACCCCAGCCACGGCCTCGGGCGCTCACCCCAGCCGCCAAAATAACTGCTGCGGTTGAGGAAGAAAGGAAATGGCAAAATAGCCCAGGCGGGACACGGGAGTGTTTAGAAGAGAAACAGGCGTCCCTGGCAGAAGGTTCTAGAACTAGCCTGTCTGTACCTGAGGGGGACTGAAGGGAAGAAATCTGCATTTTACCAGCAGCTAGATGGGGCGTGCTGCCCTCCCCTGCCCCCTTCCCCCTTTGCCCCCTCCCCCCAACCTCCGCTGCCCTCACCCCTGCTGGGGTCCCCCGTGGGCCCTGCTGAAGCCCTGCCCTTGGACCTGGCACCAGGAGCCTCCAGCCCAGAAACTCCTCTCCAGGGCTGGCTGTCTCCACCCTGTCCACCATTTGCCACCATGGGATGAGCAGGTGAATGATGTGGGCTGAGCGGGAATGAATGATGTGGGCTGAGGGGGAATGAATGCTGGGGTGTCTCTCCCGTGTGGTGCCTCCCTCCTGCTGCTAGGGAAGCTGTCGGCTGGGGGGGGGGGTGAGGTCCCTGTGGGAGAGGCCAGGCCCCGGCCCAGCAGGTGACTTCAGCCCCTGGGGAAGCGGCTTGTCCTGCCACAAACTGAAGGGGGCAGAGGAGGGAGGGGTGTGGTGGCGCACCCTGTAATCCCAGCTGCCCCAGGATGATCGGCTGGAACCAGCCCCAGGCAAACGGGAAGACCCAACTGAAAACATAAAACCAAGAGGACTGGAGCACCTGCCTGGCAAACATGAGGCCCTGAGTTCAAACCCCAGCACCGCGGGTTGAAGTCTACAAACTCAGCCACTGTCCGGGGAACGCTGCCCCGCAGCCACGGGGTGGAGGAGACTCGGGAGTTTCCCCACACACAGCCCTGGCATGTGCAGCCTCAGCTGAGACAGGAGGACGGGAGGACGTACCCTGCCCGCGGCCTGCCCAGCACTGTCCCCAGACAGCATCGTGGGCCCCAGGACACTGCACCCAAGCTGGGAAGGTGGGTGCTAGGAATGCAACCCGTCTGCCAGGGCGTGGGTGCCACCAGGACATGCGTGCCAGCAGGACATAGACATGCGTGCCAGCAGGACATACAGACATGTGTGCCACCAGGACATACAGACATGTGTGTCAGCAGGACATACAGACACGTGTGCCACCAGGACGTGTGTGCCACCGACTCCAGCAGGTCCAGCCCCCCAGCCCTCAGGGGCCTGCCGCACGTGGCGGCTGCATCCGGAAGCGCTCTGGCCCCGAGGTAAACAGTTTACTGAAGAGAGAAGCCGGCCCCAGTTTTCCCTTTCCTCCCGGTGCCCGTATGTACACAGAGACTGCTCCAGAGCCCGGGCCCCGTCGGTGGGGGCCGCAGGGGTCCCTTCCTGTCCCATCCCCAGGACTGGATCACCCGTCTGGCGGTGATCGCATGTCCTAAGGAGAGCACAACTCCTTCCCAAGGACTCTGTATATAGAACCTTCTGGAACCCAAAGGGTCCACTGCAACGCACTCCAGCCCCGCTTCCCATTGCTACTGGGAGACCCCTGCTGGCCGCTCGCAGTACGGCAGCCCTGCTCTACCAGCCCCACCAGCCCAGCCAAGAGGGGGGGCTCCCTTCTCCACCTGAGCCAGGCCCCAGGGACTGTGCTTCCCAAGTACCCCGAAATAAACAGCGGGTCTGGGAGGCAGGCCTGGCATCTCCAGCGTGTGGCCAGGCATTCTGGGCAGACACCGGGACGTGCCTGCCACCAGCTTTCATCTCCCGAGCACCGCAGATGGGTTTGCAGGGCTGAGAGCTCCCCACACCATTCTTATGAATCAAAGCGCTGGAGCAGGTGGCTCCCAGAAAGACAGAGATAAGCACTGGATCTTAGGCTCATGTTAAGGGGTCACAGTGGCAGCTCCAAGTGCGTCCCGCAGGCCACCACGCGGCCCACTGGGCTCCGATCCTAAGCCTGTCTTTCTTGCTTCGTGAGGTAGACAAACAAACCAGGCCTGGTGGTGATTCCTGTAGTCACGGCTCCCCACTTGCGTGGCGGGCTCTTAGGGAAGGGCTCCCCGGGGCCATGCAGGCTGGAGGCCAACAGCTCCCGTTCTAAGCACGGTAATGAGGCCGGAGATCTCTAACAGAGGCAGGGGCTACCATGGACGCCGAGAGCCTTGGACGCGGAGCGGAGCCTCTGGGCCCCTAGCCCCGGCCGGCTGACGGCCAGACGCAGGCTGAGCCGAGCTCTGCTCCCGTCACCAGGAAATGGGGATAGAGAACCACAGACTTCCAGCCCCAACAGCCTCCGCACCCAGGCCTCCCACCCACAGCCTCCACACCCCAACCCCTTGCCCGCCAGCCTCCCACACCACCACCCGGTCCTCAGCCGGTGCTGCTCTGAGCCGGGTGGCCTGTGAGCAGCTGGTGCTTGTTTCCCACTGTCCTGGGGCTGGAAGGTCAGAGTCAGGTCAGCACGGTCAGCCTGGGAAGGCCCGCTCCAGGGCGTATGCGTGAGACCTGTGTGACAGAGAGTCCTTCAGGCGGCCTCCACCCTCCCTCAAACCGGGTCACCACCCAGAGGCCCCAGCCAGACATCCTCCACCCCCCACACAGGGGTCCCGGGCAGCAGATGAACTTTGGGCCGATACCCGCAGCTCTAGCCTGGTGCTCTACCACTGGAGCCACAGCTCCACTCCCAGCATCTTTGGTGGTTTATTGGAGAAAAGAATCTCACGGACTTTCCAGGCTGGGCTGCCTTTGAACCATGATCCTCAGCTCCTGAGTAGCTGGGATTACAGGCCTGAGCACCAGCGCCCGGCTCCAACCCTAAGGCTTTCCTGCAGATTTTCTCCACCAGGCATTGCTGAACCTGTGGTGGGGGAAGGCTGGCTTCTCCATTCCTGGTGCTTTTCCGTGTAATGAAGTGGTGGAGATTATTAGACAAAGATCACCAAATGTCTTGGGGGACTCAGACAGTTTGGGGAAAGCAACCCTCAGGCACAAGCTCCTCGTCTTGCTCTGGGCCCAGGCCCCGGGCCCCCAGCCAAGTGTGGAGAAACAGCCACACACACACACACACACACACACACACACACGCACACACACACACACACACACGCCACGCCCACGCTCCCCAGCAACCCTAAGTGCATCAAGATGGGCAGCTGACGCCGGCCGCGCCGAGCGGGTCTGGACTGAATTGGGGGTTTTAAGCTCTCCTACAGGAAAAATATTTACTTCCCTGAACTTCGCTCTTTGGAAAGCGGCGCCCATGAGCCGTCTGCAGGGATCCAGCAGTGTTTTGGCTACTGCTGGCTTTGTCTCTCCGATCTGTGTGAGTGTGCGTGTGCGTGCACGCGTCTGGCTCCACAGCCCATATTCCCATTAGACAGCAATCAGCCAAAGACACAGCCAGACACACTGCCTGCCAGCCACGGAGAAAGCGGACCAGCACTATCTCTGTGGTACAACCACAAAACCTGCGTGTTCATCTCCAGAGATGCCATTGCTGCTTGCCTGTCTTTCCTCCCTAATGCATTGCTTTTTGCCTGTCTCTTACAGACAAAATAAGAAAGTAAAAAACAATCAGGGCCAGCCATCCAGGAGCCCGAAATCCCAGGACTCCTGAATTTGAGGCAAGAGGTTCACAAGCTGGAGGTCAGCTTGGGCTACATATTGAAAAGAAAAAGAAGGAGGAGGAAGAGGAGGAGGAAGAGGAGAGAGAGAGAGAGAGAGAGAGAGATCTTGCCAAGTGCAATGGCACACACCTGTAAACCTCTCTGCTCAGGAGGCAAAGAGTGGGAGGATCAAAGTTTGAGGCCAGCAGGCAAAAACACAATTGAGATCTCAGCTCAATCAGTAAGCTGGACATGGTCACGTGCCTGTGGTCCCAGCTATGTAGAACTGTTAAGAAATACCAAAGCCGGCTCATGCCTGTAATCCTAGCTACGCAGGAGGCTGAGATCTGAGGATCGCGGTTCAAAACCAGCCCAAGCAGGAACACCCATGAAACTCTCATCTCCAATGAACCACCAGAAAACTGGAAGTGGCACTGTGGCTCAAGTGGTAGAGCACTCACTTTGAGCTGAAGAGCTGAGGGACAGCGCCCAGGCCCAGAGTTCAAGCCCCACAACTGACAAAAAAAAAAAAAAAAGCTAGAAAGAAAGAAGTACCAAAGGGTGAGGCTGGCCCCAGGCAAAAACATGAGACTTTTCAGGGGGGAAAAAAAGGCAAGAAAGGGCTGGGGACATGGCCCAAGTGGTAGAGCACCTGCCTACTGAACATAAGGTCCTGTGTTCAAACCCCAATACCATCCCCACCCAAATTTTTTTTTTTTTTTTTTTTTTGCTGGTCGTGGGGCCTGAACTCTGGGCCTAGGCGCTGTCCTTCAGCCCTTCAGCTCAAGGCTAGCGCTCTACCACTTGAGCCACAGTGCAACTTCTGGCTTTTTCTGCTTATGTGGTGCTTAGGAATCGAACTCAGGGCCTCATGCATGCAAGGCAAGCGCTCTACCACTGAGCCACCTTCCCAGCCCCCCCCCAAATCTTAATGGTGAGGACCTCTCCATTGGGTGGATGTTATTACTACAGCCCTCTCCCCCCTCCTTGGAAGATAATAAGCTGGAGCTCAGAGAGGTCAAACTCTCGAGAGAGTAGCACCGCGCGGGGCAGAGCGGGCTTTCGACGGTGGGCTGTGAAGTTCTGTGGCCCCGGTTCAAGGTGGCAGGAGGGCGAAGCAGCGTGCGGTGCCAAGTGGAACCCTCGCCCTGCAGGCCCAGAGGTCAGCTCTAAATTTATCCTCTGACCTTCTTGTTCTAATTTTGGCCAAACAAGTTCTTCCAG